GACAACCAAGGAAGCAACAGCAGTTAGTCTTCTACACTCAAAGAAGAAATGACAACAACTACAACCGACGCAGCAAGCAAGATCAACGTGACAACCGAGGACTCACCATCGTGCCGCCGTTCTGCCACAACTGTCAGACTTCCGGGCACTCCAAGGTCAACTGCAACCGCCCTCGCGTTTACCGTGCAGCAGACCCACAAGTCGCTTCCACTCAAGCAAGTCCTCCAAGGCGCTCTTCAACATCTGCACAACAAACACCCAACATCATCAACTGCATGGTACACATCGACAACTGCGCACCCGCTTCACCACCCACTTACGCACCAGACGAAGAGGAATTCCCGCCGCCGCGCTCGCAAGGACTTCAGGTCAACCCGACATACGCTGCAGTCGCTAACGCCGAACCCACCGGGCGGAACACCTGGTTCTTGGACAGTTGCTGCGGTCAGCACATGTGCTCCTCCGGACGCTTCGTACAACACGAGCGACGCCTCAACCGTGACGTCGTCATCACCGTCGCCAACAACGAAAACCTGAAAACAAATAGACAAGGCGTGGTTCAGTTACAATCAATGGAGACAAACGTTATTCTTCAGCTCAACAAGGTCCTCATCGTCGACAATCTGGGATACAACCTATTAAGCGTAAGCCAACTAATGGCTAAGGGGATTCACCTGGAGTGCGACTCCTTCTCCAACGAGTTCCGACTTTACCACGGGAAGGGCGGTCTCTTCATCGGTCGTGCCCTCCTGAAGTCCGGTGTCTTCGTGTTGGACTTCGTCCCCGACCGCGGAACTGCCGACAGCGACGGTATCGTATCCTTCGCCGCCTGGACTCATCCGCCAGATCTTGATCCCGACTTCGACAGCGACGGCTTCTGGCACTCCAACACCATACCTGCAGCAGAAAGAACACGAGCATTAGCAGTTATCAGACAAGAAAGACAAGTACCCGCATGTGTCCCAACAAAACCATCACCTGCAGTATCGGCAGCAGGACCCAGCCGAGTACCACCACCAGCGACACGAGGACAGCCAACCGAAGCAGACCAACTTATGCCCGCCACACGAGAAGCTTGTCGAAGTCCCGCCTCGGTCGTCGCGTTCTTCTCCAACGCCGACATCTACCACCGCTCGCCCGGTCACCGCGCTCCCGACGACATCTGGCACCAACGTCTCGGACATCCTGCAAACAGCACGATACTTCAAACAATCCAAGCAGAAGTGTTAGAACGCAACGCCCTTCTGACGACGAGCGGCCAGGAACTCCGACGACCACGCGCACGGTGTTTCACATGCCCCGAAGCAGATCTTCCTCATCAACCTTTCCCAGCCCATCACAATCCAAGCGCACCCACTTACGCTCCGATGGAAAAGGTCTACAGCGATATTCTAAACATGCCTCGAGACGACACCGAAGCCGACTTCAACTACGTCATCACGTTCATCGACGCCGCAACCAGATACGTCTGGCACTTCAATCTCAAAACGCGCGATCAAGCCTTCGAGGCATTCACCACATGGCTTCCAATCGCCGAACGAGAGTCAGGAACCAAACTCAAGAGTTTCCAGTCAGACGGTGCACTGGAATACCAGTCACAACGCTTCAGGACCTATCTCGCGGAAAGGGGAATCCGACGCCTGGTGTCTCTGCCCTATGCTCACCAGCAGCAGGGGGTAGCAGAACGCATGAACCGGACCTTGCAGACGACGATGCGAAAACTGCTTCTGGGGATGAGGCTGCCCAACGCACTGTGGCCAGACGCGATGACACATGCAGTCCACCTGCACAACCTGTTGTCCTCGTCATCGCTCCCCAACAACGCATCACCACACCTGCTGTGGACGGGAAAAAGGGGCAGCACAAAATTACTTCGAGTTTTCGGCTGCATGGTACAATACAGACCCCACACAGCTCGAGCAGGACGCTTCACTCAACGAGCTCGGTGGGGACTACACCTCGGCATCGCCAAACATTTTCACGCGTGGAAGATCCTCGACATACAAGACAAAAATACGGTGGCATCACGTGATGTTATCTTCTACGAGCGACTGACGCTGCAGCATTACCTGGACAACATTGCCAACTCAGACGACCCCACCGACGGCTTCGCGGGCCTTCGCTCCTTCGCTGACCATGCTGCCGAGGCTGACGCAGCAGAAGAAGACGTACCTGGAGCCTCGGAAGCTGCCGGGCCACTCCCATTCTGTTCCATACCTGTTCCACTCGATGAAGATAATCCCCTCGATAGCAACAACCTCGACACCTTTTACCACTTCGCCGACCAAGGTTACGCTACACCGCACCCCGTCGACACGAATATTTCGGAACGCATCGGCCCCAATTTCTTACCTGACCCCGAAGACGGTGACGAAGCAGCTTATTCGGGGAATGACAATTCCCCTCGACACACACCCACGGGACTCCAGATTCTAGGCCTCTGGGTCTCCGTCCAGCATCCGCCGCCGCCTTCTACGCGTGAGCCTTCAACCTTGTCGCAGGCTCTGGGGGGGGAACATAAGGCAAAATGGAAAGAAGCGATGGAAAAGGAGTTAAAAGCTCTGCAAGACCGAGAAACATGGAAACTGGTACCTGCAACGAGCATCAACGGGAAGAACGTTCTCTCGGGGAAATGGGTGTACCGCATCAAGACCAACTCAGACGGCTCCATCGAACGATTCAAAGCTCGATGGGTCGTACGAGGCTTCGATCAACGATACGGAACCGACTACACAGAAACCTTCGCCCCAGTCTCCCGTCACACCTCATTACGCATCCTACTCGCCGTCGCGGCCACAAAAACACTACCACTACGCCAAATCGATGTCGCGAATGCGTTCCTATACGCACCTGTGGACGCTGAGATCTTCGTCGAACAACCCCACGGATTCATCGACGACCCCACGAAAATATGCCGACTGACAAAATCCCTATACGGGATCAAGCAAGCCCCGCGGCTCTGGCAGCAGCATCTTCACAGCCGTCTCGTAAAAATCGGCTTCCTACAGCTGCCGCATGACCAAGGGATGTACCGACTGCAGAAGGGAAGAGAGTATGTTCTGCTCATCGTCTACGTCGACGACCTGCTCTACATCGGCTCAACTACCGACATCGCCACCTGGTTCGAAGGGGAGCTGAAAGAAGATTTAACTCTCACGGTGTCCGACGAAGTTACGCAGTACCTAGGACTGAACGTCGTCGAAGACGACACGGCGTTCTACCTACACGCTGGAAAGTACTCAAGCACCGTCGCGAAGAAATTCGCTCTAACACCGACTGCGGTCCCAACTCCCTACCGCTACGGGAACAACGGCAGCGCCTCTACAAAACTCCCCGCGAAACAAATCCAGGAGTATCAACAGAAGCTCGGCTGCCTACTATTCGCAGCAGTAACCTGCCGACCCGACCTATCCTATAGTGCGAGTCAGCTGGCGACACATCTGAAGCATCCGCAACAGGAAGATCTCGAAGAACTCAATCGAGCGCTACTCTACTTCGTCTCCACGCCGACGATCGGGCTTACCTACAGCAAGGCAACAACACCGTCCGTACGACTACTCGGATACGTCGACGCCGACCACGCGGGAGACAGCGAAAATCGACGGTCTAGGACGGGCTACATCTACCGACTAGAACCTATCGGAACTATCTCCTGGCAGTCGAGCAAGCAGGAGTTAATCGCACTATCCTCGGCTGAAGCAGAGTATATCGCCCTTTGTACTGCGACCAAGGAAGGACTCTACCTACGAGAGTTACTCGAAGAAGCGAAGATCGCGACCCTGCCCGCCTTCTCACTCCTCTGCGACAACCAATCTGCGATCAAAATCGCGAACAAGGACGGCTTCGCCAATCGAACCAAGCACATCGCCCTGCGGTACTTCTTCGTCAAGGATGAAATCGCGAAGGGGAGACTTCAACTCAGTTACTGCCCGACGACAGAAATGGCCGCAGATTATCTGACGAAGAAATTGGCGAAAGCAAAATTCGACTACTGCATGCTCCTAACCGGGCAAACAAACGCCACCGGATCTGAACACTCCAGCACTCCAGAAACGAAGGGGAGTGTTGGAAATATCTCAAGGACTTAAGCGTTTCTGAAGTGTAACACTGTACTCGAGGAAGATTACAGGGGAGCACGCGAGTCAACGGAGGTTACACGAGGGGGCGGACAAAGAATGCGAAAGGACTCGAAAGGTCGCAACTGGAGGTTGCGACTGACCGTTACAACATCACGGATGGTAACCGAAGCGGCAATCGAGTCGCTGTGCGACTCGATAAACCGTTCCTGTAACTGTATTCTACAACTGCTTTCTTATCTACTATATATTGCTGTATGCTTGTTTCTTTAATCAATCACTTGTTCTCACATACTAGTACAAGGGTTCAACTGCCTCAACTTCCGCTGCACTACTCCAAGTCTCAAGTCTTTACAGCTGGGACTTAGTCTCTGCAAAAGATCCTAAAGGGTTTTTCTCAGCCCAACAACCCCCAACACGAGAAAGGCCCGTTTTCACTAAGCCGACATTATTTCACAATGGGCTGCCGGGAGTTCTCAAAGCGTGATGTGTTAAGTATAGCGTAATGTAGTATAAGGAGAATGGTACATATCCCTTTGTTTTTCACTGGAACAGTTTCCGGTATCAGCGCAAACGCCATTCACCAGGCCAGACCCCCGCAGCGCCGCCACCACGAACTCCAAACGTGGGCGGGAAGCTCACCCTCGAGCTGGCGCTTAGGCTGCCGCAACAAGCGCCGCCAATCGCAACGCAGCGCCGGAAAATCAGCCACCACGCACTCCGTGTCGGTACCAGCACATAAATTTCTCGATTTCCGAATGGCGCGCGAGGGCATCAAATTTCTTCACGTCTCCTCCCTCTCGCACCCCAGTTAGCCTATCACTATGGCTGCGCTGGCTTTGCAGATTTCTGAGATTGTTCGTGGCAGGCTACGTCCACAACTATTTCGTTTTCTGCTAGAATATAACTTCTCTATTTCCGCTGTGAGCTTCGTCGCCCGTTCTTTCTCGAAGATAAAAACGTATGCTAGGCCGTTAGCTCACACCACTAATACTCAGCTCACGGCGACTCCCAGAAAAAAAATCAAAGTTTTAATTAGAGCATTTCGCGAGAAACTCGCCACATTCATCCAGACACTGGGGATTTAGGCCTCAATCACACGCCGACAAACGCTTGATAAATCATATAGTATCAGAAAAATCATGGAGGTGCTAGATAATACACGCTTTTCTTTACGCAATTTCCCTCTCGCGCTCCTCGTGCTCGCCCTCGTCACGCCCATCGCCCCCGTGCTGCTCATTCTCGCTCTTCTCTTCCCCGCGTCACCCGTTGACGGCGCCAAATACGGCGTCGAATACGGCGTCGTATGCGGAGAAAGCGACACGGACGCGTTTCTACCGGTGGCGAGCGAAAGCGATGATCTGGAGTACGAAAGAGCAAGCATGTAAGTTTGTCGTGATCTGAAAAAATGTATATTGAGTAGTCTTTTGTTCCTTATCCCTCACTCTCATCACTACGTCCTTGGCGAGCGAGCGCGATGATATGGAGTGCGAAAGAGCAAGCATGGAAGTTTGTTGTGGTCTGGAGAAATTGTTGAGTTTCAGAAAAGTTTTGGAAGAGCTGGTGCGTTGTTGAGCGATACCCAAAAACGAGCACGTAAGTCCAATAAAAACTTTCGGATACTCGCGGCTCGACAGAAGCAATTCGCGCAACTGAAACGAATACAAATAGGCGTTATTCTATATTTGCCATGGGTTGCTATCCAGCCAATCCCAGTACTCGTTTCGCTGTTTTCCAAAAAAATTATGCCATAACCTTGACCTATCGTTACTTTTACGCGAATATTTATCTTGAACTTATACTTTTCCTCATCCCTCACCCTCTCTGCTACTCGCGTTAATCCTTTTGCCCCATAAACAGGAGCGCGGATCTCCCCCCCGCGAGCGGAATCAGCACCCACCACCGTCACTCGGCCACCATGTGGTGCTGACGAGATGACGCTGCCGTTTCTGAGGTGGCCTCGCTACCATTCCGCGACTCCTGCTACTCTCGTCCTATCTTCCGTCCTCTAAACAAGAGCACCTGTCACGACGCGAGTCCGAACCGTCGGGCACTTTTTCTCAGACTCAGACTCGTGAGGAGCATCGGATCACTAACCAGCCTGAGTCTTTTTTCACCAGATGACACGTCGGCAGCCGTGACGCTCACTCGGCCATGTGGTGCTGACAAAACGGTGCTGAGTGTGAGTAGCAGCAATCACCCTCAGCTGGCGACGTGGTGCGACGCACCCTGCTGTTTTGCGGCGCCCGCAGCGCACGAAGTGACACTCTACCAGTGGCTCCGTAAAAACGTAGGGTGAACTCCGCCAATGCGCGGTCAGTGTTCGCCGACCAAGCCTCGTAGTACCGCCGGCTTGTGGCTGTACCACGGTTATCAATCCGTAGCAAACCTGCGTTTTGTGGTGGTTTTTGGGAGGAATCGAGCGACATGCAGAAGGTTCCAGCGCAATGCTATAACGAAGAACCAGTGTTCTGGAGCTGTCGGAGTTCAAAATACATATTTTAGAAAGTAGGTTATATTGCATAATATTTACAAAAGCATTTACAAATCCAACAAATCTAGCACAAGCGGTGCCAAGGCTCATAAAACCATTCACATGAAGAAAACCTATGGAAGCCTCGCACTTCCTACTATAACCTCAGCACTATCCATCACAACTACACTTTATACACCTCACTACTTAAAAACGAAAAACTGCTAACAAAAAATAGCTTGACACATGCACCCTAAGGAACAAGCTCGTGCCCTGCTAAAGCAAAAACCCATTCCGTTACTGCACCCACCCTCATCCCCTTCACCGTCCCTTCCGTTATCCTCCTGTGCCACTGCTCCACCGTCCTGCAGCATTCTTAGCCAGTTCTTTGCGTCTTCAACTACTACTACTGTTGATTATTAAGTTGCCTAAAAGAAAACTTCATCTGCTGCTGCTTCATTCGCCTCCAGGGCCAATCCTCTGCTTCTTCAACTACTGCTACTGTTCCCTCCTCCATTTCAACCCTGGGAAGGCTACTTCTCCCCTCCTCCCTTTGCCGCGGCAGGAACAGTCGAGGTGGCAGGGGGCGGAGGAGCAGCGAAAACACCCGCCCTTCGGCGCACGGGGGAGTGAATGCTGCTAGCGAACGTGCCTGTAACGAGTGTGATTCAGGTACTGCTACTTCTCCCCTCCTCCCTTTGCTGCCGCTGCAGGAGCACTAGAGGTGGCAGGAGGAGGAGGAGCGAAAACACCAGCCCTGCGGCGCACGGGGGAGTGAATGCTGCTAGCGAACGTGCCTGTAGCGAGTGCACTTGCCAGGAATGGGAGGGAGGGTTTGCGTGGTAGGGGTGCTGCTGCTGCTCCTCCTGTTGCTGTTGCTCCTGATGCCTTTGCTGCTGCTGCTTCTGCTGCTGGTGGCTGTGCTGGTGCTGCTGCAGTTGCATCCATAACGAAACGTGACGCTGTCACTGGTTTCCCCAGTGTTGATGCTGCGGCTCCTCTCGGTGATGCTGCTGCTGCTGCTGCTGCTCCTGCTGCACCTCTCGGTGAAACTGCTGCTGCTGATGGTGCTGCGGCGGCCCCTCTTGTGAATGCAGCTGCTACAAATGCTGTTACTCCTCTCGCGGGTGCTGCTGCTGCAGCTGCCACTACTGGAGGTGGGGCAACCGGCACTTTTGATGCTACTGCAGCATCAGAGGCAGCACCTAGTGCATGTCCGGTCAAATGCCCCATCAAGCCAACCGTGGAAGAGACAGACCCCTCTCTTGACCCTCCTCCGTCACTCACCCCTGACGATCCAATTGAAGACCCTGAAACAGACGCTTTAAGAGGAACTCCGGCACTTAAAGCCCCGGAGGCCGAGCCACTTACGTACCCTGTCGGTTTCTCAGAAGCAGAGAAGAGTTTCTCAGAACAAACGGAGGAGATTCGTTGTGAGGCGCACCCTGAGGAAGAGGAGGCGAGTCGCTGCCTGTGCATGTGGTGGTGCCCCCCCCTGACAGCTAGGATGGCTGCTGCCACGACTGCTGCCAGCAGGACCATCAGCGCCACGCTGGCGAGGATTACTGCTGTCGCTGACGTGGACCGCACTGAGCTGGCATGTGCTGAGTTGGACTGTGCTGATGTGTCAGCTGCTGCGTGGAAGGTGAAGGTGAGAGAGGCATCTGGGACCTGCTGACGTGGAATAGTGTCTCCCATTGGCTGGGAATTAGCAGCTTCAAAAGTAGCCTTAAGAGAAGGGTTATTCGCAGGCTCAATACTGGGCTTAACATTCGGCTGAATAGTAGGCCCATTACTAGTCTTAATGGTTGTTGTCTTTATAGTTGCTGTCTTTATAGTAGCTGGCTTATTAGTGGCCTTATTAGCCACAGTCTTAATAGTAGTGCCGGGAGGTAGGAGGGAATAAGGAGCGTTCTTATGCAGGCAGAAAGCGATGCCCATGCTATGCGCTGTGGAGTTGCCGATTAAAGACGCCACATAGTAGGAGATTAAACCCCAGCACCGCTGCTTCTGAGGGACCGTGTCCCCAGGGCGAATAAGAGCATCTGAGTACAGGGGTGTGTCGGGGGGAGGAGGGGAGGGGGGCAGGGAGGAAGGCAGGGGAGGGACAGGACAAATGAGTATATGGCCTGTGGCGTTGCAGGTTAAAGCTGCCACATAGTAGGGCGAATAAGTGCGTCTGCAAAGATGGGTGAGAAGAAGGGGCAGGGAGGGGACTCATGAGTATGTGGCATGGGGAAAGCAAGAAGACGCCACATAGTAGGAGATAAAACCCAAGCAGCGCTGCTTCTGGGGGACCATATCCCCAGGGCGAATAAGGGCGTCTGCAAAGATGGGTGGGGGGTGAATGGGGGGGCGGAGAGTGGGGGGATGATGAGTTTGTGGCTCGTGGAGTTGCCGCCACATAGTAGGAGATTAAAACCACCACATAGTAGGAGATTAAAGCCGCCACATAGCAGGAGATTAAAGCCGTCACATAGCAGGAGATTAAAGCCGTCACATAGCAGGAGATTAAAGCCGTCACATAGCAGGAGATTTAAGCCGTCACATAGCAGGAGATTAAAGCCGTCACATAGCAGGAGATTTAAGCCGTCACATAGCAGGAGATAAAAGCCGTCACATAGCAGGAGATTAAAGCCGTCACATAGCAGGAGATTAAACCCCAGCACCGCTGCTTCTGAGGTACTGTGTCACCTGGGCGAATCAGAGCGTCTGCAAAGATGGGTGGGGACCACGAGCTGGGGGTGGTAGGGGCGGGGGGAGAAGTTTGGGGAGGGAAAGTTTGAGGGGGGGAGGGATGGGGGGAGCGGGCACAAACATGAGTATGTGGGCTGTACCGAGGTCGGGGGGAGAGGGAGAGGAGAGGAGAGAAGAGAAGAGGTCTGGACACATGAGAGGCGAGAGGGGAGAGGAGAGAGGGGAGAGGGGAGAGGGGAGAGGGGAGAGGGGAGAGGGGAGAGGGGAGAGGGGAGAGGGGAGAGGGGAGAGGGGAGAGGGGAGAGGGGAGAGGGGAGAGGGGAGAGGGGAGGGGGGAGGGGGGAGGGGGGAGAGGGGAGAGGGGAGAGGGCTGGACGCATGAGATTGAGGTGGAGAGTATGCGGGCCGTACAGAGGTGGGGGGAGATGGAGATGGAGAGGAGAGGAGAGGAGAGGAGAGAGGAGAGGAGAGGAGAGGAGAGGAGAGAGGAGAGGAGAGGAGAGGAGAGGAGAGGAGAGGAGAGGAGAGTCATGAGCATGTGGCCTATGGAGTTGTGGACTTGCTCAGCACTCACCAAAGAGTGTCGAAACCTGCTTAGCACAGTCCAAGCACCGCCCCGTGTTGCCCATTGTGCTGCTACAGTAGGTTCGCATGTAGCTGCTCACCCACCATACTGGAGAGGCTTTTAACGCGGATGTGAGCTGGTGGGGAAGAAGGGGGGGGGGGGGGGGAGGGGAAGGGGGAGAGACGGGGAGCAGGGAGAGCAGGGGAACGAGGGAGAGTAGGTTTGCATGTAGCTGCTTACCCACCATACTGGAGAGGTTTATAACGCAGATGTGAGCTGGTGGGGAAGCGGGGGGGGGGATGGGGGAGAGGGGGAGAGACGGGGAGCAGGGAGATTATGTCCACATGTAGCTGCACACCCACCATACTGGAGAGGCTTTTAACGCAGATGGGGGCGAAGGGGGGAGAAGGGGTTGATTGAGAGGAGGGGGAGAATGAAACTCGGCAGAGTTTCTTTGTTCTGATTAGTACAACCAAAACGACTCTGTTGAAGCCTGCACCTAACTTGCACCTCCCTCTCACCTCCCTCTCACCAGTTGCTTGGAGAAGGCACTGCCACTGGGCGTCACCTCACTTAATACCTGGTAACTGAAACTCACCTGGGCGTCAGTAGTGATCCCACGGCACGCACCCTTGCCCCCCTCCAGTCCAAACTGTGCCGCCCCAAACCCCAAAGGCGCGCACTTCATCACCGGATTATATTTGAACAACACCGCTGCTGCTGCCACTGGTGCAGTTGTCGCTGCTGCTGCTGCCTTTCCTCCTTGAATAAAGGGTACAAACTGCTTCAGGCACTGCCCGGCGCGGGCATCAAACACCGCAGGGGTATTTACCCTGGGTAATTTGGCCTTAGCGGTGGCGATTGCGGTGGATTGGAGGAGCGCTGACGTGGCAGCGCAGCAGCCAATCAAGGAGGAGGAGGAGGTAGGAGAGCGAGCGAGGGTGCTGCATTCATTGGCCAATAGTGCCAGGCTGGCTTTGCTGTATGCTGACGTGGACCAGGGACACGTGGCAGCTGGGGATTGGTGGAGCGTGGGGAACAGAAGACGGGATGGGGGTAAAGGGGGAGAACAATGATTTTTCGAAGTGCCTGAGAATCAAGTGAGTGAGTGACGACGAGGCACTTGATCATCCACGTGGCAAGCAAGCAGCCAGCAAGGGAGATGCTTACGTGTCTGGCAAGCAGTGAGGTCAGTCGTGGTCAGCAGGCCCTTGGGTGCCACGTCAGCACAGGGGTAGATCCTCCCGTTACTAGCACACACCTGAAACAGAACGACGTTTAGTTGGCAACCCACCCCCAACCTACCCCAACCTACCCCAACCTACCCCAAACCTAACCCCAACCTACCCCAAACCTAACCCCAACCTACCCCAACCTAACCGCCTAATGACCCTGTACCAGCAGAAACAGCAGTAGCTGCTCTGCTTGATCACAGAGTGCCGCTAGAATCCCAGGGATCCGCTATAAGCACAGGCTTCAATTGTAACCCCAGGGACCCATCATAATCCCAGGGATGGACCATTTATAAGCCCAGGCCAGAGATTCGTTACAAGCACGCACCTTGGAGCTTTTAACGGGGCATTGAACTTCAGTAGGCGTTACGAGTGGAGGGTCTGACAAAAGGAGGGAAGTCAAGAGGGACACAAGGGGAGAGTGTGAGGGGGAGCAACAGGGAGCAACGGGGAGCAGCGGGGAGCAGCGGGGAGCAACGGGGCAGACAAGAGGGGGGAACAAGGGGAGAGTGTGGGGGCACACAGATCGGGGCTCTTGACGTTGACTGGGCATCACCAGGCGGTATGCCATTGAACTTCAGTGGGCGTTACAAGCAAAGGGTCTGAGTATAAGGGGAAGCAACGGAGAAGGAAAGGGGGAACGACGGGGGAGCAATGGGGGGAACAAAGCGGGGGAAACGAAGGGGGAGAGGGGGGAACCAAGGGCGGAACCAAGGGGGAGAACCAAGGGGGGAATAGAGAGGGGATGCAAGGAGGGGAAAGGCATGGGGCCCTTTACAGAGTAAGGAGGTGCTAAGGAGGGAGAGGGGAAAACCAAGGGGGGAACCAAGGGGGGAACCAAGGGGGGAACCAAGGGGGGAACCAAGGGGGGAACCAAGGGGGGAACCAAGGGGGGAACCAAGGGGGGAACCAAGGGGGGAACCAAGGGGGAACCAAGGGGGGAACCAAGGGGGGAACCAAGGGGGGAACCAGGGGGAACCAAGGGGGAACCAAGGGGGGAACCAAGGGGGGAACCAAGGAGGGAACCAAGGGGGGAACCAAGGGGGGAACCAAGGGGGGAACCAAGGGGGGAACCAAGGGGGAACCAAGGGGGGAACCAAGGGGGGAACCAAGGGGGAGAACCAAGGGGGGAACCAAGGGGGACATCTGAGAGGAGGAACATCTAAGTGGATGCACGTCTACGCATCAGCTTTTGAAAAGGGATTTAAGGTCTAGGGATTCAGCAAGTGGGTTCTCGCCGAAAGCCCCCCCCTGCAGGAGCCATGTCCCTGCATGGGTACGTCTGGAAAGGGACTAGGATTCGAGGACAAACTCACTCCCTGGCGGCGGCAGCCAGCGAGGTTGGTGGTGGTGGCCATCCCTGCAGGAGCCATCTCCCTGCACGGGTACATCAGCCCGTTGCTGCCACACACCACCACGTTTAAACCACACAGCAGCTTGGGCTCGGGTGGGGCTGGTGGGGAGGGAAGGGGAAAGGGAGGAATAGAAAAGGGGAGGGTGAAACGGTATTGTGAGTGGTGGAGGTACATACATCCGCCCCTCCCCCAGGGAGCCATCTCCGGGCACGGGTACATCTGCCCGTTACTGCCGACACCACCACGTTTAAAACCACACATGCGCTTGGGCTCGGGTGGGGCTGGTGGGGAGGGTTGGTACAAGATGATAAGGGGTGGGAGGTGGGGAGAGGACGGATGGGTCATGGAGTCGAGTCAGCAGCATCTGCGCATTGGAGCCACACACACACCACCACGCTCAAACCACAGAGGAGCTTCGGCTCGGGTGGGGCTGGTGGGAACAACAGGGGTTGGTAAAAGTGGGGAGGGGGCGACGTGCAAGGAGGGTGAGAGAGAGACAGGTGGTGAGAGGGGGAGCCATCTCCCTGCACGGGTGCATCTGCCTGTTGGACCCACACACCTCCACGTTAAGAGCGCATAGCAGCTTGGGCTCGGGTGGGTCACCGTGGGAGACTGGTGGGGGGAAAAGGGGAGGGGGGAGAAACGGAGGTCAAGGAACGAACAGGAGGGTGGGGCAGTGGTGTGAGGTGGTGAGGCCATCTAGACGCCATCTCCCTCTCTCTCTGTGGGAGAAGACCCAGGAGCCTTTGAGAATTCTCAAAAACACCCTGCAAAATCCAGACCCAGGAGCCTAACAGCCCTAAAAGGACAGCCTCACTCACGAGACGGAAGGATCTTCTTGGCAGCGACGAGAGGCGAGGCAAGGGCGGGGATGGGAGGGTGACAATGAGGAGGAAGAGCAGCACGGAGGTCCCGCCGAAAGGCTTCCCTGGGGGGAGACCCACGCGACCTAACCCTTTAGAGTCAGAGTAGCAACTCACGAGAGGGCAGGATCTTCTTGGCGTCGACGCGCGCAACGAAGGGCGGCGAGACGAGCGTGAGCAGGAGCAGGAAGAGCAGCACGGAGGTCCCGCCGGCGGGCTTCCCTGGAGGGAGACCCACGCGCCGAGGCCGCGGCACGATCATGATGGCGCGCGAAGCGTGGCGTGGCGTGGCGTGGCGTGCTTCGCGTGGCGTGGCGTAGCGTGGCGTGGCGTGGCGTGGCGTGGCGTGGCGTGGCGATTAGGAGGATTCGTGGCGTGACGCGGCGAAGCGCTACTAGTGCTAGTACAAACAGGCACTACTATGGTAGTAGTACTATTGCCCCTCCCTGGAAGGGCCCACAGCTGTCGACGCGTGATTTTGCCGTACTATACCGCCCCGGTACGAGACGGGATATGTGAACACCTGGAAGGCTTTATTAGTAGCCGCCTGCGGGCGGGTACGATCTCCTGGGTATGATCTATAGTTTACGTAAGGCGTCTGGAGACTGGAACGAGGAGAAAATATCCGTGAAATAATGATCAAACCCGGAATCGCCGGGATATGAATATGTGAACCGTCGGTCTTCTTCCTCTCTCGGTCCATTCCCCTCGCCGACAACCAACCCAGGAATTCCCAACGAGCCGGTGAGCCGAAATGCCCTCGTTCCGGAGAAGCGTCCCGAGGCGCGCGTGTGCGCCGTGGCGCCATGGACGGCGTGGCGAGCGGCGTTATTGGCAGCGGGTGTCGGACCTGTGAGATGGCCTAATTGGTCGTAAGTGCCAAGCTCCTTACGAATATGTCATTCTGATGACGCATGCTTACTTGCTGAGACAATTTGGGCATGTGAGAGGAGTTCAGGTACCATGCGGTTCAGTAAGCGTCCTTACGTTATCGGTGGGTACATTAAGATCCTAAAACGGTTGAGTGGGAGCCCATTTCGGATCAAGTGCCTGCCTGATGACGTATGCACTAGTTTCATTGTACTCGGTAAGAACGTATTTTCCTATTAGTTTTATTTCTGATGCACGCTCTCAATCTCGATAAGCAAAGGAATTGTGAAACTGTTCCAAACCGGTTTGAAACAATTCTCCCTCGTTTCAATCTCGTCTGTAGGGCTTACGCGCCGCGCGCGCCCCCAAAGAAGACCCAAACCTTCTCCACGAATCACCGAACGAGCCGAGCCATTGGGGACGTTCGGTATGGTTGGGGAATTCGTCAAGCCAACCGCAACCAGCCGTACCGGGCCAGGCAAAACCTGTTCAGCCTCGTTCGGCCGAAGCGAAGGTCTTCCTTTTTAATCACACAGGCCAGAAGGCGCCACCTCAAACCGTTTTTGTCACACCGACTAGAGAGAGGCGCCGCAATAAACTTTCCAGCTTCCTCCTATCTCCAGTTGGCTTGGGCCAAGATTGCGAATCGCGTGAAGATTATTTTCCACACAGCGCCAGTAGTTATTTCCTCGCAAGTAGTTCGAAATTTTACGGGCTCTAATTGCAGGCACAGCCCTTGCTCAATGACTTTTGTTGCCTAGTGACGACAGCCTGTCTACTACACCCTGAGAGTACCTCTTCGGACTACGAGACTGAAAGTCGCGGCGCGAGGCAATTGACGAGATAGTTACGGGTGTAGACGAAATATTTACGGCTGTTGACGAAATCGTACGAAGTGCGCGTGTGTTACAGTCATGAATGGCCATAGACCCTCGAAAGGGCAGCCGTGTACATATATCGCGCCACTCTAAAACGAGTTAGTTGATCTCGCATCTATATATTCGTCCTAGACCATCAAGGACAGTCTTCGCCTGTGCGACATGGCGAAGCTCGCACGCGAACAAACAGCTCATGGTTCCAGCACTGGTAACCCGTTCGCAACGAAGATCGCGAACCTAGGCGAGCACAGTGCGCGAGAACTCGTCGTCTACCTCGTTATAGGCACACTCCTTTTGTGTAACATGTTATTCTTAAGCACATCCACAAGTGTATGGGAGGGGGACCCTTGGGATCTCCCCATGCTGCGTGCCCTCGTGACTTCTGGGAAGCTTCGGGGACCTGCGAGTGTGCCACGTCAGCAAGGCGCTGACGGAGCTGACTTGCTGATGGGGAAGGCTAATAGCGAGGATTTCGTGCCGTCCCTCGCATACGGCATCACAGGTACGCGCGTTAATTGTATGCCACTTTTGATTCGTATGTGCGCGCAAGTGATCTTGTGAACAAGCCACTCTCCCTTCCTCCCCTCTGCTCCGCTGTCCATATAGCACCCTCTATCGCCGTGTATTTCGGGTCGGCTCAAAATGCACCTTCCGTCTGCTCCGCCGTCCAGATAGTACCCTCTATCGCCTCCGTCAATCTCTCCTCGCCTCCGCTTCCTCACCCAAAGTAGGCTCCAACAATGACTCTGACTGTATTGACTGACTCTGACTGTTTTGACTGACTGACTGTATTGACTGACTCTGACTGTTTTGACTGACTCTGACTGTTTTGACTGACTCTGACTGTTTTGACCGCCTCCTATTGGCTCCGTACCATCCCCTTTCGTTCCAAAAGTCGCTTCCTTGCGCTTATTAGGTTCCTATACATCCCCCTCTTATATATCCCCCTCTATTGGACTTACGCTTATTAGGTTCCTATGTATCCCCCTCTTCTCCCCCCCCCCCCGCTCCCCACCCTTCCCTTTCCCCCCCGACACAGGTTCCAATAACGACACTGACCGTATTTACCGGCTCCTATTGGCTACTTACCACCCCCGGAACTACTATGCCGTCCATATAGACGATGCTGAGTCAGCTTTGGCGCTACGGACAAAGCTCGCCGCCCACCCCGTCCTGGCGGCAACAGTAGCAGTCGGGGCGGCAGAGGCGGCAGGGAGTGGGGAATATGTGACTGTAACGGGGGGTGCTGGTCGGATTCATGTGATTATGGACCCGGAGATGGTGACTGTAGAGGGGGGCTCGCATCTGGCGGTCTTGCTGCGATTGGCGCACACCCTGCTCCGCATGGGGGAGGGGGAGGCGGAGGGGGATGGGGGGGAGAGGGGGAGAGAGGGGGAGGGGGATGGGGGGGAGGGGGGGAGAGAGGAGGAGGGGGATGGGGGGGAGGGGGGGAGAGAGGAGGAGGGGGATGGGGGGGAGAGGGCGGGGGCAATGGAGCCAAAGAAGGGGGCACAGAAGAGTATTGGGGGGGGGACGAGGGGCCAAGCGAGTGGATGGCAGTGGCTGGTGCTGCTGGGTGCGGAGGATTACCCCCTGGTGACACAGGATGGTGAGTGGTGCTGTGCGGTTATGGTATGTGTAGGGCGAGGAGGAGGGGAAGCAGCGCGTGGGGGAGAGTGGACGGCAGTGGCTGGTGCTGCTGGGTGCGGAGGATTACCCCCTGGTGGCACAGGATGGTGAGTGGTGCTGTGCGGTGAGGAGGGGTAACCATAAGGGGCAATGAAGGGTGCTGATGGGTGCAGAGGATTACCTTTTAGTGACACAGGACAGTGAGTGCGGTGATGAATGGCGGTTTTTGAGTCTACTCGAAAGTACTTTTGAGTGGTTACCCCATTACCATCATCACCACCACCACTCGAAAGTCCGCTCGCTGATGGTCCGTCCGCTGGCTGATGAGTGGGGGTCATCATGGTAATGGATAACCAGCTAACTACCATTTATCCCCAACCCACTTCTCCCCCATTTCTCCACACCCCACACCACCCCCCCCCCCCCCCCCCCCCCCCCCCCCCCCCCCCCCCCCCCCACAACCTCCTCTCTCCCCCTCTCTCCCCTATCAGAATCCACACCGTTTCGCATTCGTCCTCCCTCCTCCCTCTCCGCGCCCTCCCCCTCCCCCTCCCCCCTATCAGAGCTCGCCTCCGTGGCTTCTCTCCTCTGTCTCATGTGGCTTCTCTCCTCCGTCTCGCCTCGCCTCTCCTGCATTGACCATGTGGTTTTGTGCTTACCCCTTCCCTTATGGCCCAACTACGTCCCATACATCCCCCCCCTCCCTCCCCCCCCTTCCAGAGCTCCTCTGGCTTCTCTCCTCCGCCTCACCTCGCCTCTCCTTCATGGACCATGTGGTCGACCACCGGTTCGAGTAAGCTGTTGATTTTAATATGTTGACTTCCGTTGACTTCGTCTCCTCTGACTCCTCCTTCAGCACCAGGTGGTCGACCACCGGTTCGAGCAAGTTGACCATGTGGTTGACCGTTGTTGACCATGTGGTTTACCGCTGTTGACCATGTGGTTGACCGTTGTTGACCATGTGGTGACCGCTGTTGACCATGTTGTTGTCCGTTGTTGACCATGTGGTTGACCATTTGGTTGACCCATGTTGACCCTGTGGTTGACCGTTGTTGACCACTTGGTTGACCGTTTTTGGCCATGGGCACACTCATTCCACTCCCTCCTCCCTCATCTCTACCCTTCCGCCCCCAACCCCCCCACACACTACTGCACAAAGCTACCGCCGAGGTAGTGTGTTTGTGGACGATGTGTTGTTTCAGGGGAGGTGGGGGGGGGGGTAATGCATAGCCAATGCTCTCCTCTTACACCCGCACTCCCCATCCCTGCCCCTATCTCTTCCCCGCCCATGTGTATTTTGAGTCGACTCAAAATACCCCTGCCCCTATCTCTTCCCCGCCCATTTTGCAGGGTGTTTTTGAGAATTCTCAAAAACACCCTATCTCTTCCCCGCCCATTTTGCAGGGTGTTTTTGAGAATTCTCAAAAACACCCTATCTCTTCCCCGCCCATTTCCCGCCCCCCCCCCCCCCCCAACTCCTGCACACAGCTACCGCCAGGAGAGTGCATTTGCGGACAATGCGTTGTTTGAGGGGAGGCGGGGGGGGCGGTGGATCGCTGATGTGAGGGATAGGGTTACCCGGTTCGAGGTGTACACTGGTGGGTGTTATGTTATGATTATCAGATGTATATAAGAGATACATTAGAATAGATGCATAATACATATGTATAACCATACAGAGAGATAGTTCAAAACATACACTCTGTCACATTGCATGCTCATGATCTTGGGAGTCCCCCTCTCACCCCAACTGAACTACTCTACACGCTCCTGCGCTCTCCCCCCGCCCTCTCTCCATCATGTTCTACTCTTAATCATACAAATTCACGAGAGTTCCTTTCTGAGCAACATTTTTTTCTAAATCAACAGTGTTTTACTGCCCGCTGCCGCGTATGGCTAAAACCACCACCAAGTGGTGTTCGCTCTCCCCCCGCCCTCTCTCCATCATGTTCCTCGGAGACCCTCTCTCGCCCCACCTGAACTACATGCCCCTACTCCTTCCCCCCCCCCTCTCTCAAGCGGTCCGTGTATTAATGGGCAAGCAAGCTACAGCAGGGCAGGTACAGCAGGGCAGGTACAGCAGGGAAAGAAGCATGAGACTCCTTCTCCATCATGTTACTTAAAGCCCAGATCCCGAATTAGTTCACGCCAATCAACGGGCAGAATTCGGGCTGGGCGGGTGGAAAAAAACAATTGTTTTATTGGGTGCGAAATAATGTGATTCCGTTACTTCGCGGGGGATTTCATCTGCAAGATGGGCCCAGTTTGATTTTGGGAGTTCAAGTGAGGCAAAACGCGGATCTGACGGCCGAGACGCAGGGACACATGAAGTCCCAATTTGTAAGCACAATTACAGCCGTCGATTGGAAACCTAGCGAGAGTTGCGAGACTCGGCCATGGGGACTGGGACACAGTCCCCATGCCCCACAGTCCCCGTGGCCGAGTCCCCATGGCCCAGTCCCAATTTGTAAGCACAATTACAGGAGTTGGGTTTGGCCAGACCGATCCAACGGCCGAAAGTGCACGAATCAAACTGGGCCCAGTTTGTAAAGGTGATGTCTACCATGGATATACCAGCCTCGATTTTGCCTCTAACGGTGGCGAAGTGGTAGTCGGTTCTTTTTTTTTCTTGGGTAGTTCGCGAGCGCGGGCAGCATCAAACTGGGCCCAGTTTGATGCATGCGTGACTAATTTGGGACCTGGGCTTTAAAGACCCTCTCTCGCCCCACCTGAACTACCTGCCACCTTCTCCTCCCCCTCCCTTGCTCCCTCCCCTCCCTTACAGGTTCCTTCCCTCTGATTGCATCTCAGCCGTTCATCCGCTATCTGATCGACGAGCCCCACGCCGTGCCCCGCCGCATGCTCATGTTTCTTGGCGACACCCTCTCGCCCCACTTGCACTACCTGTCAACCGCCGCCTGCCAGTCCGCCCGTTTCAATCACACAGTGGTGAACAGTGGCCTGCACTTCCCGCCCTTTACAGTCACACAAGGGCATGAGGTAACAGCAGTAACAAAAAGCCAGCCTTTACAGTCACAAACTTGTACAGTAAATGATTAGGTCAAAAGGTACAATTGTTCTAAGTTCGTTCTCACACTGTGATGAACAGTGGCCTGCACTTCCCTCCCTTAACAGTCACACAATGCATTCCTTTACAAGAACATAAGGTCGCCCACTACCCCACACAGCGGCACGGAGGCCGGGGCCTGTTGGTTTTTTTGGTGTTATTCTCTCTTAGTGCCGACATTCTCCCCCTCGTTCTGGTGTCATTTTTTCTCTCTATCCGTTCCGAGCCCCCTGTCGGTTATTTTCTATTCTTCTCTCTTGCGGATTTCTCTTCTTTTCCGTACCATTTCTTCCCTGCCACAAACTTTTTTTCCCCCATTCGCCCCTCCATCCTTATTCTCCCTCTGCCCGTGTTCCAGGTGTCTTCTGGCAACCCCTCTGCCTAGCAGGCTATGACCGGGGGAGGTGTCTTCCCCTCTCCCGCGTCCATGCCCTCTTAATCCACCCTCCGCCCTTTTTGCTTGCAGGTACCCCCTGTCAACGCCTCTGTCTGGCAAAACTTGACTGGGAAAGGTGCTTCTGGGGGAGGTGTCTTCCTCTTCGTGCATGATCCGGATCCGGGCTTGATTGACGAAATAGACAGGTGTGTGGTCGGGTGCTGTGCGGTGGACTGAGGTGGTTCATGGTGGGTCTTGGTGACTTGCACTGGTGCCGGTGACGTGTGGTCTCCTGCAGTTTTGTGTGGTATTGAGTTGGTTCTTTTATCATTCTAAAAAACAACTCAACTGACCTGCAGTACAGTGTGGTAATTAATTCTAAGATGATGACATAATTTGTGAGTGCGTGTGCCGTCCCTATATCGCTTTCCCCTTGCCTCACCTCCTCTTTTCCATATCGGCTCGAGTACGTTCCCTCTTATCCTGAATAACACTCAATCTCCCCTTTACTTCAATCATACCTGGCCTCCCCTTCACCTCCCAGTGTTGTTCCTTCTTCCTTACCCCCCCCCCCCCCTCCCCCTCCCCCTCCCCCCACACCATGCTGCTGACCCTGAACCCCACACACACCCCATCACTCTCCTGCCTCCCATTCAATCCGTTATTGAGTCGACTCAAAAGCACCCTCCTGCCTCCCATTCAATCCGTTATTGAGTCGACTCAAAAGCACCCTCCTGCCTCCCATTCCATCCGTTATTGAGTCGACTCAAAAGCACCCTCCTGCCTCCCATTCAATCCGTTATTGAGTTGACTCAAAAGCACCCTCCTGCCTCCCATTCAATCCGTTACAGGGAGCTTCTTCACAGGGAGGAGGCGAGTGTAGTGGACTGCAGGGTGGAGTGTACCAGCACAGTGCAACAAACAGCGCAACACAACACGGCCAAAACAAGTGTACATTCTTTGTTACAGCCATCTCAAAGAGTTACGGAGCTCAGAAGAGAGCTTCAGAGGACAATAATCAATAACAGGCCATGTGAGGTATGAGGAGGTTACCTTGTTACACATGCTTGACATTCCTGTATGGGCGTATCCCCTGGTTACACACGGATGGAGCAATGTGTATGCAGTATGGTAGGATGTGCATAAGTCAAGCATCTTGTCTGATCGCCCCTGACTTGATCAACCACCATGAGGTGGGCAAGCTATTACCAGACATCAGCCGTGACATGTTCATGCATGAGTTGCAATGTGTATGACAACTTCTGTTGACCCGAATTGCAGAAAATGCCTTGCAAGTTCATGAATCTTGAAACCCCCCGATTGGTAACCCAGTTCCCCAAAGCGAGAGCAAAAATGTAAGGAATTACGATTCCTTACTGGGGCTCGCCACAGCGAGTACACGCGAACCTCTCGGTTCCGCAGGCTCGGCCGCAGGTTCTTCTCACGCCAAACCAGCCCCTGTCGACCTTTTCGGCCCCAACCTGATCCCGAGTCGCCCCGAACCCATTTTGACCCCGTCACCCTCGGGACTGTCGAGCCCTTGACTGGTCCAAACCCTGACATTCAACCTGGTCAACTCGCCCTATATATTGCCTAGGCCTCATTATTTTGTACAACATTCTGTAATCACATTCCCCTACAGTATTGTGTGTCAACTTATACATATGCTGTATGTAGAAGTTATAGGCTAGCCTAGGTGTGAGCTTCTAGTGAGTACAACCCCAACAGGTACATGTTCTAGGTTTCTCACACTAGTCCATTCATTCTCTCTTTCTAACATGGTATCATGAGTAGGTTCGGTTCCTCTCGCCCGCCCACGCTTCCGCCCTAGGCCCTAGCCGCCCTCGTGACCCGTCCCTAGCTGGCCCCCCCCCCCTGGCCGTCCCGTCCGCCCCTAGCCGGCCACCTGGCCGTCCCGTCCGCCCCTAGCCGGCCCCCTAGCCGTCGCGCCCGCCCCTAGCTGGCCCACTGGCCGTCGCGTCCGCCCCTAGCCGGCCCCCTGGCCATCGCGTCCGCCCCTAGCCGACCCCCCTGGCCGTCGCGCCCGCCCCTAGCTGGCCCCCTGGCCGTCGCGTCCGCCCCTAGCCGGCCCCCTGGCCGTCGCGTCTGCCCCTAGCCGGCCCCCTGGCCATCGCGCCCGCCCTTAGCTGGCCCCCTGGCCATCGCGCCCGCCCTTAGCTGGCCCCCTGGCCGTCGCATCTGCCCCTAGCCGGCCCCCTGGCCGTCCCGCCCGCCCTTAGCTGGCCCCCTGGCCGTCGCACCCGCCCTTAGCTGTCCCCCAGGCCGTCGCGTCCGCCCCTAGCCGGCCTCGTTTTGCTACAGTTGATACATCCAAGGCTTACTTAGAAGCTGTTGTTGCTCGCTATTCCACGGCTGCCTCTGCTACTGCAGGCCACCTGCTCTTCCCTATGCTTTTCCCAGACCTTGCTTCCTTCCCTACTGTTGCTGACCTTGCCACTCACCTTCGCGCCCTAGAGTCCCGCTACCGCACTGCTAGCACTGCTGCCCAGCTCACTGCGCTCCCTCCCCCCTTCTGCATGACCCTCTACTTTATCGCCATGCGCGTGCCTGACCGCCTTGCTAGTGCACGCGACCACATCCTTAGCCAACACCTGGGTGATCTCACCCTGCCAGCCTTTCTCACCGCCCTGACCGAGATCGAGACTCGCCAGCACACTATCGCTCAGTCGAGCGGTGCGCCGGCAATCTCTATCTTTCACGGCTGTGCCCCCTCCCAGTGCACGTTTACTGACGTTTCGGCTGCGGTCGCCACTACGACCCCTCTAACCGAGACTGCAATTGCGGTACACCCGCAGCAGCGCTCGCGCCGCGCCAGTCGTGGCCGCCAGGGAGGGCGTGGTGGTGGAGCTGGTTGTAGTAGTGGTGGTACCGGGGAAAGTGGTTCTACTGAGGGGACTGCCTCAGCTAGTCAGGAGCAGCAGCCGTCGCCCCAGCAGCAGGAGCAGCCGCAGCAGCCGTTGCAGCAGTCGCAGTCATCGCAGCAGCTGTCCCAGCCCAGCCGTGGGCTCGCCTCACCCCCGGTTGGCTCGGCACCTCCGTAGGTGGCGGCCCGCGCAGCTTGGCGTCTACCGGCAGCTCCGTTGGTGTGACCTGCCAGTACCAGCTTCAGACCGGGCCTCTCCGCGGCACTCTGTGCCGCCGCCCGCACCCGACCGCCCCCTGTTTCCGCCGCCTCGACGATCTCTTTCGTCGTCGCTTTGGCCTGGCCGCGGACCTCCCCGACTGGCACAGTCTGCTTCGCCAGGGCGTGCCGATCTTTGATTTAGATATGGATCAGATAGGTGCTGCTTTGCATGCCTTGTATGCTGACGCTTCTAGTGTTGCTGGATCTTATTACCCTGTGTACTCTAGTTTAGGCGTAGCACCCTTGTGTAGCTTAGCCTCCCCTACTGCGTCAGGTGTAGGACTGCCTAGTTTGCCTAGCCTAGTTTCTGCACCGGCTCCGTTCCCGGCCTCCGCTACTGCCTCGCTGTCCTTCACTCTCGACTCCGGTGCTTCTGCCTGTTTCTTCCGTGACCGCTCCACGCTCACGCCTCTTGCTGCGCCTGCTGTTGTCGCTCTCGCTGACCCCTCCACAGGTCCTGTCGTCGCTCGCAGCTCCACTTCCCTTCCCTGTCCAGCCGTTCCCTCGGGCTCTCTTACAGGCCTCCACGTTCCCTCGTTCTCCAGGAACCTGGTTGGTGTCGGCCGTCTTCAGGACCTCGGCTTCACCACCACGTTCCCTGGGCACGAGCGGTTCGCTGTCTGTACCGAGGCAGTCTTAGGTTCCCCCTTTGCGACGTTCCCCCGGAACCCGGTGTCCGGTCAGTTTACCCTCGACACCGCTTCCCCCATGGTTGGTGCGTCCTCCCAGGTCGCTGCAGCTTGCTCGTGTCGGTCCCTCACACACCCGTCCCTTCTGTGGCACCACCGCTTAGGTCACCCTGCTCTCCTGCGTCTGCGTCACATGTCTCAGCCCGGTCTTGTCTTAGGCCTCCCCGAGTCGCTTCCCCCCTCGGCTGTGCCACCGTGCACGCCTTGCGTCGAGGGCCGGCTCCGCCGTGCCCCTCACTCCTACTCGCTTCGCCCTGCTACTGCTCCCCTTCAGACCCTGCACCTGGGCGTTTGGGGCCCAGCCCCCATCCCCGGACCGCGCGGTGAGCGCTACTTTCTTGTGCTCGTTGACGACTACACGCGCTACACCACGGTGTTTTCCCTGGAGCGGAAGGCCGACGTGCCCGACGTTCTTCTAACGTGGGTTGTGGCTGCGTGTCTGCACCGCGGTCTCCCCGTGTTGTGTCTCCACTCTGACCGTAGCGGCGAGTTCGCCTCTGGTCGGCTTTGTCAGTTATCTCGTGCGGAGGGCATCACCCATTCGTACACCTTGCCGAACCACAGCAGAATGGGGTTGCTGAGCGCTGCATCGGCTTGGTCATAGAGGTTGCTCGTACCTCCATGATTCATGCCGATGCCCCCCATTTTCTGTGGTCATTCGCTGTCCGCTACGCTGCTCACCAGCTTAACCTGTGGCCACGCTCCCAGCAGCCGCGGGTTTCGCCGACCCTCCTTTGGACTGGGTCCCCCGGTGACGCGTCTGCGTTCCACGTCTGGGGTTGCCTTGCTCCCGTTCGTGCCTCTGGCACGGACAAGCTCACTGCTTTACTGTCCCTTGTGTCTTCCTCGGTTTCCCCCTGGACTCGTCTGACTGGCTGTTCTACCACCCGCAGTCTCACCGCTTCCTTTACTCTCGTGATGTCACCTTTGACGAGTCTGTCTCCTTCTACCGTCGCTTCCCTCACCGAGGTCTCCCGGTTCCCCCCCCCCTTGTTCCTGGCTCCCTCTCTCCAGGTAGCCCCTGCTCCCCTCCCGCCTCGTCCTGCCCCGTGTGGTGTCTCCCATGTCACTCCCCTCCCATCGATTGTCCCCGTTGAGGAGTCTGCTGACTCTGGTGGTCCCCTCGTCCCGTCGTTGCCGCGTCCCCCTTCCCTGGTGTCTCCGCCTCCGCTGCCGCGGCCGCCGCCGCTGCCGTCGCAGCCGCCGCCGCCGTCGCAGCCACCGCCGCCACTGCCGCTCTTGGCCTCTGGGGGTGCTAGCATTGAGGAGGATGTCATCATATGCTATCACATTCTGTCTGCCTCCCATCCCTTCTTTCAATTCGCATGTATGGTTTGACTGTGTGTGAAAGAATTTGTGTGGTGTGTGTTCTGGAGTTTGGGAATGTTTTTTGTGTTATTCTGTCTGAGCAGGTATTTTGTGATGATAGATCTTGAGAAGATCTTTCCGACGCAACAAGAATCGCTTCAATCGGAGCAAGAACGCGAAAGCTATGAAGTTTCAAATTTCATGAGCTTGCGTTACAATTGCGGCGGTTACAAAGTGAAGTTGTGGGGTGACTCTATATGGAGTTGGGACCTTTGGGGTTGGGAAAATTCGTCACTCTACTGTAACAGCTGCAAATTGGTTGGGAACAACCAAGCTAGGTTGGCAAGGGTGGCCAACTTGGATGGATTGGTTGGGAAGGGACAAATGTCAAAGTTGGGGTTCCTATAGGGAGGGAATCTTTGTGCTTTGGGGTTTCCTTGGTTGGGGACTCTCTTGGGACCTTCCCTCTCATCCCTCTCTTCTATCCCAACCTTTCTCTTGCTCCTCTAATTCCTTGTGAGATTCTTGAACTTTGATTGAACTTTTGAGATTGAGTTAAGTTCTCCTCCTATAGCTTATCCCCTAATGTGTCGAAAGCCATAGCATCGCGAATACTTCATCAATCAACGAGATTCAAATTGGGAACGGTAGCTGAGATTAAGAGCTACAACGTATCCGAGCTTTGCGATATTCCAACCACTTTTGTTTCGTCGACGTCGTTTCTTATGAAGACGACTTTTCTGTCTAGAATTTCGGATATATATTTTGAGTAATTCTAGCTCCTAAGTTCACCTAGACTCCGTCCTTAATCCTAACAAGTGGTATCAGAGCGATATTGAGGACATTGAGAAGAGTCTACAGAAGTATGAAGACCCTTCTAGACCCACCATGGCCTGTGGGTGTACCTAAGTGGTGTTCTAAAGGTTGGATGTGTCTTCCGCTAAGGGGAAACTCTGCCGAAAGTTCGTGGACGCCGACACTTATGAAAATATCAAGGGAGCTGATTGTGGACAGTAAAGGGGAGCTGAAATTCGTTATTTCTCAAGGAGAAGATGAATGAGAGACGAGGAGATGCTAATGGAAGAGGAGATGTACCTGAGAAGACAAGTGAGCCGCCGCCATCAAAAGTTGA